GCCAGATGTTTGCTCCCACATGACTCCTGGAGAACTTTTGGATTGGATGATTTACGCTGGACAGTTGGGGGGGATGCTTTCTATATGTGATTTTTGCGCCTTTGCTTCAGACCTTGCTTTTCTTTGACTGCATTCAGTTCTTATCCAGTAAAAGTTACCTTTCTCTATGAAAATGGAGTCGGGGTTTTTCTTTCTTGGATAATGAAAGGAGGCCGTCCTGACATTAAGCAAGGTCAGCTGAGTTGCTAGATCGTCAGAGGCTTTAAAAAAAAAAAACTTTTAAAAGCATTTTTTCTACAACCTCTTGGGTAGAAGAGGTTGTAAAAAAAAAAATGCTTTTAAAAAGCTCTGAAGATCCCAGCTGAGCCACGCGGATCATCAGAGACTTTTTAAAAACTTTTAAAAGCAATGCTTTTAAAAGAAAAAAAAAAAGATTGCGCGCCACAGCTGATCACCCCCCCCCTTCGTGCACTGTTCTATTTACCGCATGTCTCCTTTTGGTGTGCACTGCGCATGGACACCTCGCATTTGGTGCGTGGTGCGCACTGCGCATGTGCAGCCAACGAACCGGTAGTAAACCGGTTCAGATTTCACCACTGATCACTCCCTTATATTTTTCTTACCCAGAAAATGTATTTTCACCCCCCCCAAACCTGCAGATTGCCATCTCTAGTTTATAGGGGAGGGAGCCCCAGTCCATTTTAATTCCCGGCGGTTGTACCTAAAGCCTGAGAGTAGAAGTGAACAGAAATGAAAGGTTAAAAACATCCGGGATGGATGGGCCAGTCTACAAAATCTCCATTATGTCGCAACAATACAAAAGCTGGTTTAGTTGGAAGTCCTGTTTCGAATGGATGGAACAATAAACATTAACACCCAGGTGTGCAAATTTGGCTTGAAGGTGGAGTCTTTAGTTCATGCTGCTTTGAATGACGAACAAAGTCAATAATAGCAAAAAATAATAAAAAAATACGATGATTCCCAATGAAGAGCTAATAGGGAGAGAGAGAAAAAAATTAAAGTCTCTTCAATTCTTAGTGACTCCGCGGATACGTTGATGTATCTTTTATAGAAACCCAACAGAATCTTTTTAACCAAGAAGTACTTTCCAGTTGAGGTTATCTCCAGGGGTTTCTGGCTCCAGGGGTTATCCGGTGTGGTTTGTTAGCTTTTTGAGATCACGTGTCTGGGTGTTGGTATACACATGTGCATCGTTACTTCTGGCAACATGTGAATGGGTTGGGAGCGAGCCGTTCCCCAACATTGAAGAAAAAATGATGCCAGCAAACATGATTAGCTTATTGCACTCGCTAAAAGCTGCCACCATGAAACTGGGCTGCAATTAAATTCTCATATAACTTCGTGTTCTTGCAAAAAGACTACAATCAAGACAAAATTTACAGTAATTTCTGAAAGTAGATGGCCTGATCTCTCCTACCCACTAAGCCACTGAGAAGCAAATCCTTCTTATCTTGGTCTCTCGTTTTTGTCAGAGTTGGTTTATTCAATTTGAAGACTTTTTTATTGTTGTTGCTGTTTCCACTTTTTTAAAAATGAGCTTTAGGCCAATCAGACCTGTTTTATCTCTATCTCTATCTCTATCTCTGTCTCTATCTCTATCTCTATCTCTATCTCTATCTCTATCTCTATCTCTATCTCTCTGAATATCTATCTATCTATCTATCTATCTATCTATCTATCTATCTATCTATCGGGAGGGAGTTTTGTTAGATAAGAATGAGTGGGTTAGGATGGCAAAATTTAATGACCTAATTTGTAATATTGTTTACTGCATGTTAATATTTGTTGAATAGGATGGCATTAATTAATGGTAAGTTTTGTTTGTACGAGTTAATGTGGTTGGGCTTAGGCAGTAATAAAGATGAGTTTGACCTTGAAAGGTATATGTGTTGTAAAAGTTACTGTACTTTTACTATAAGACGCACTTTTTCTCCCCCTAAAAGTGGGTGAAAATTGCGGTGCGTCTTATACACCAAATGTTGACGAAACCCCGCCCACCCACCAGCCCCCACCCTTCCGCTGTTTTCGGCCTCCGCGCATTGCATTTCTAGCCTCCACATGTTGCATTTTTTGCTGGTTCCAGGCAGTGGGGATTGGCGTCGGTGAATGGGCCACACCAAACGGTGACGGGGTACAGGCGGTGGCGAATGGGCCGCACTGAACGGGCCATGGCCACAGCGAACAGGCCACAACAAATGGGCCGCAGCGAATGGGTGGTGGCGAATGGGCAAAGGCAGATATATTTTTCTTGTTTTCCTCCTCCAAAAAGGTCAGTGTGTCTTATACTCCGGTGCGTCTTATAGTCCGAAAAATACGGTGTCTCTTAAATTTTGCCCTCTGAATTGTGCAGTTATATATATAAAACCCCTTTGCTGTTTTGTAAATGTATAAACTATTCATGATTGACAATGAAATGGGCTGAGGTATCAAAGGGTTGCCAGCAGCTGTGATGTACCGCTGTGTGTTTGTTGATTGCGTCACTCAGATGTCCTTTCTAATGAAAATAACCTTGTTAGTTTAGCCTCGCCATGTGATGTTTTCCAGATGGTTGGGCATTAAGACCCATTATTTTTTTGTCAAGATGATTGTGATCCGGCCACTTGGCACCCATAATCACCTCATGTTTATGATGTGAGAGTGAGCCACAAAGTTAATGGAGAATCTGTCAGGAAGTCGCAAGCTGCAGTCATGTGAGGTCCTCCCTTAGCAATCTGCTTGGTCCTCACTTAATAGGACTGCTGGAATTGCCATGTGTAAACTACTTTTTTTAAAAAAATTGATTTATATGTTGCCCTTCTCCGGAGACTCAGGGCGGCTTACAGTGCGCTAAGCAATAGCCTTCATACTTTTTGTATATTTATACAAAGTCAGCTTATTGCCCCCACAAACTGGGTCCTCAATTTACCTACCTTAGAAAGGATGGAAGGCTGAGTCAACCTTGAGCCTGGCGGGATTCGATCTTACTTTAATTGCAGACAGCTGGTCTTAAATTACAGAGCTCTGTCTGTTGAGCTATCCAGGCTCCTTGTCCTTGTCCCAAAGATGCTTTTTCAAAAGGCGATTGGACTTCCTTATTTTTTCCTTGCAGATGTTTTGCTTTTCATCCATGAAGCTTCTTCAGTTCTGACTGAGTGGTGGAGGATGCAAGGATTTCATCCTCCATCCTTCCATCCTCCATCCTTCATTTCATTCATTCATTCATTCATTCATTCATTCATCCATTCATTCCATCCTTCCATCCCAAAGCACCTTTGAGATAACCTGGATGACTGAGAATCTCCATAGACAATAAGGACTACTTGTAGTGCTCTTCTCACATTGAGCAATCCTGAAGTCACAGGCAAAACAAGTACTGTCTACCTTTGTCAATTTACTTTTCTAATCATGCATGGATCAAACGAAATACGATGCGACAGATTCTCCTCCTAGATGGCCAGATGTCAAGTAAGAGTTCTCTGAAGGACTGCTAATGCATTGTTGGGCCCAACCTCGCTCACAAGTGGTGTGGGTTGTTGATGTCATTTCAATGGCTGTGTTTACCACACATACAAAACCAAAATATTGCAACTCAGAATGTCAGCCTAGTTCTCAGCTCACTGAGACAGAATGTAATTTATTTAATCTTAGCCGTCGCAATAATTGACTACATCTGGTAGATTCTGGTTAGCGGTTTCTGGTTCCACCCATTAACCTTGCTTCACAGAGGTCAGGGTGTTGTGGTTTTTTTTTTTTTTTTGGTATCCTCTTTTCATATTGGAAGAGTTGACTATCTATCATAGGCCGGTATTCCTGGTCAATAGGAATTGATCACAATCTTAAGAGAGAGGATGCAAATACAAAGAAGAAGAAAAAATAATCAAGAGAAAACTTGATCTGTTCCAGGTCCAACCCTAAAACCCACTCGTTGGAAGGCTTAAGTTTTATCTTGATCTAGTGTCATCCAGGCCCTTAGAAGCAGTGGTGGGATTCAACCGGTTCATACCATTTCGGCCGAACCGGTTGTTAAATTGCTGGCCGGCCCCTCCCCTCCCCACCCCTTCCAGAAGTCCCCACACGCCCCGTTTTAGCTCCCAGGTAAGTAAGTGCAGGAAGACCAACTATGCCCAAAATGGGGCATGGGGGGGTATGGTGCTGCCCCTCTGTGGCCCGTTTTTGCTCCCAGGAGGCTGCAGGGAGGCCGAGTGATGCCACCATGGCCATGCCCACCCAGCCGGTCATTAGGACAGAGAACCGGTTGTTAAATTATTTGAATCCCACCACTGCTTAGAAGCTATCAGTAAAACTTGAGTTTTCTGTAAGCAAAACATGACCAAGGTACAGAAGGAAATAATGGATAACCTGCAATTGATTCACTGAGGGCAAGACAAGGAGCAATGGGTCGAAACTAATCAAGGAGAGAACCAACCTAAAAGTAAGGAGAAACTTCCTGAGAGTGAGAACAATTAGTCCATGAAACAACTTGCCTTCCAGGGTGGTGGGATCATAATCGCTGATGGTATTCAAGAAAGGCTATCTATTCATCAGGGATGGAATAAGGACTCCTGCCTTGGCCAGGGGGTTAGACCAGAAGCCCTCCAAATTCCCTTCCAGACAGTGGTGAAATTCAAATTTTTTTACTACCGGTTCTGTGTGCGTGGCTTGGTGGGCATGGTATGCGTGGCTTGGTGGGTGGGCAGGGGAAGGATACTGCAAAATCTCCATTCCCACCCCATTCCAGGGGAAGGATACTGCAAAATCTCCATTCCCACCCCACTCTGGGACCAGCCAGAGGTGGTATTTGCCGGTTCGCTGAACTACTCAATATTTCCACTACCAGTTCTCCAGAACCTGTCAGAATCTGCTGGATTTCACCCCTGCTTCCAGCCCTATGCTTCATTCTTGTCTGCATCATATACCCATTTATATAAAAATAGATCCCTTTGATTTAGCAATATTTACTTCTGAACACAGTTTGCTAATTTGTTTTTGGAAAAAAATAATAATTGCCAGACACATTTATTTTGAGTTGATTTTTTTTTAAATGGAAGAAACAATGAAAGATGGCAGGCATTGTCTTATAAGAGGCATTCCATTACACTGTCACACATGCACACAAGAGTGCCCCTTAGATGGGAATCATACATCATCAGGAAAAAAAACTACATGTCAATATATATTTTTGTTCTTCAGTATGATGATTGCAGCCTTACCTCAATCGTTGGAAGCTTAATTATTTAAACCAATTAATCTACTCCAATCTTAACCAAGCCTTTTCAAACCACTATGTAAAAAGCTCATGAAACGAAACAGTATCTATATCATTGGGATGCCTTTACTTGCGTGACATCCTTAACACCAATATTCCTTTCTATTCTTATTTAAGATACGCATTAATTAGATAAATTAAAATCCCTTTTGACTGAACAAAGAGAAAAGAGAGAGAGAGAGACAGAGATGCAGAGAAAGAGACTCAGACCAGCAATTGAGAGACACATGGGCACCAGCAATTGCTGAAGCCAAAACTTCTTGGATTTATGCCTTCTTTGGTAGAATTCCATTGGAGATTTTCCCCATTTGAGTAGAGAGGACACTGGTAGGTTGGGGTTTAATATAGGGAGATGTCCAGTAGGAACCAAAGGACACTCGGCAGAAAGATAGCAAAAGATAGGCAACTGGAAATCTGACTGCCACCACTTTTGGATTCGGCTTCCCCAAGTTGGACATTTTCAAGTTCATACGTTGCGTTTTCAGAGGCTAGGACGATACCTTTTTTGAAGATGGTGTTTTCAACAGCGCATCCCCTGGCATTGAAATCTTGAACTACAGTAGAACCTGTGAAACCAAAGGATGGGGGGGGGAGGACAGGACTAGAATTAGCATGTTTTTCTCCCCAGGAGCGATGTTGAATTTGGCTCAACTGTGCACCAAATTCCCTGCAATTTTCACTAGAGATGAGTGAATGTGCTATTATTATTATTATTATTATTATTATTATTATTATTATTATTATTACTATTATTAGCTGGAAGTTCCTCAGATCCTGACTTGTTTGATTTGGCACATATCTAAATCAATGAATTGATAGTAAAACCAATGGGATGTCTGCACATTTTATCTGAGCGGTGGTGGTGCAGTGATTAGAAGGCAGTATTGCAGGCTAATTCTGCCAACTGCTGGCAGTTCGATTCTCACCGGCTCAAAGTTGACTCAGCCTTCCATCCTTCCATGGTTGGTAAAATAAAAGACCCAGATTATTGGAGGCAATATGCTGGCTCTATAAACCAGGGGTCTCCAACTTTGGCCGCTTTAAGACTTGTGGACTTCAACTCCCAGAATTCCCCAGCCAGCATGGGCCACATGGAGGCCCCGCGAGACCCTCCACGTGGCCCGTGTGGCCAGCAAAGTGCTGCAGGAGGCCGTCCAGGTTTTGCTGCAAAAACGGGGCGCAGGGGGCTGCGTGTGGCCCACCCATGCCCCATTTTGGCCAGCAGGTTGTTACAGGAGGCATCCGTCCCATTTGTCCCCCTGCTCCCCGCCCACCCCACCACCCTGCACCAGCTCGCGGAGATCTACATTGCTGATCCAGTGTTGTGGCCCGTACGCAGCCTGTGCGGCTGGTGGCTGATTCGGACAGCGAGGAGGCTGGTATGGTGCTGTTCCAGCAGCCTGTGCAGTTGGCACTCGAGTCAGACAATGAGGAGGCTGGGGAAGATGTGGTGCCAGAGGCAGGGATTCAGCCAGGGCCTTCAGAACCTCCAGAAGTTCCCTTAAGTGAAGAGGAAGAAGAGGAGGAGCCTCTTCTTGATGCATGGGCACACAAAGCTGCCAAAAGGCAGGAGTGGCTCCTCAGGAGGAGGTCTCCTCGAGAGTAAGGCTTGGGGCTAATTGGCCACTCCCTTAGCCTATTTAAGGAGGAATGCTGACTGAAGCAATTTGCAGGGAACAACTTCGTTCACTCTCCTTCGTGCCTTGATCTTAGTTTTCTGCAAATTGCTTCTGGGCTTTCTGCCAACCATAGTAAGATTAAGATTATTTATTCTTTGGATTCTTGTAGGCTGTTAAGAAAGTTAATTAACAGCCTATGTTTGAAAAAAAAACTGATTTAATTTATTAAACTAAGGTTTGTACAGATTTTGTGTGTGCTGCATTCTTTGGGGTCTGTAGCTGGGGCAGAACATCCAGCCCTCGAAGAAATCTAGTTTGATACCCCTGGCTTAGACTAAGGGATCGTTTCTCCTTCTCCTACAGGTAGTTCTCAACTTACGATCATTCACTTAGAGACTGTTCAAAGTTACAGCGGCACTGAAAAAAAAGCACTTAACTCCTGTCACAGCTTCTCCATGTTCAATTGATTTGGGTGCTTAGCAATTTGGGGCATATATTTAGGCGAGTTGCAGTGTCATGTGGTCATGTGAGCGCTACTTGCGACCTTCCCACCAGGTGTCCAACAAGCCAAGTCAATGGGGGAAGCCAGCTTCTCTTAATGACCATTTGATTTACTTAACAACTGCAGTGAAATCTCTGAACAGCTGTGGCAAAAATCAGGCACACCTCATTTAATGACCGGCTTGCTTAGCAATAGAAATTCTACTCGCAACTGTAGTTAAGTCGAGTCTGTTAGAAGCGGGTACAGCTTTTGGGACGAGAGTCTGGATTAAAATGTAATGAATCTATGGGATGTTTCTGATTTACCTTTTTTGTTGACTGTCCCGCTGATGTTGAAGCATTTCTTCTGGAGATCGTTGCAGTTCATTGATTTGCCATCGCATAAATTCTTATCGAGAGCAAAGCATGATGGGCAAACCAGATCACTCGTGGGAAAAATCCTGTCAAGTGCTGCAAGAATTAAGATATCAATGAGTTAGCACGGAGCTGAACCTTTTGCGCTACTTCCACGAGCAAAATTATCCCAGGGGTATTTGGGAGGGGAAATCTTATCCAGTTCCGTTTTTGGGGATACCACTCCCCAAAATTTGTAGAAGGACAGATATTTATTCTCTGCACAATGGAGCGGGGCCTGTTTTGAATCACCAGCTGGAGGTGTGATCTCTGGTTTAGATGGAATGGATATTTAGGTCTAATTTCCTGAGGTGGTTATTATTATTATTTATTTATTTATTTGTCAACAAGTACAAGGAAACAAGTAACAGTACAGACATAGACATAGACATGGACACATGAAAAAAAATTGACACAAATAAAAGGAAATAAATAAGCAAAACATAGCCATAAACACATAAAATGTGTACATATAAATGGGAAGAGTAGGATAGGGTCAGAAGGCACGCTGGTGCACTTATGCTTAGGGACCTCTTAAGAAACATGAAAGGTCCACGGTAGACAGTTTAAGGTAAAAGATATGGAGATTAGCGAGACTAACCACAGGATCAGGTAGAGTGTTCCAGACATTTACTACTCTATTGCAGAAGTCTTGGTGGCGCAGCAGACTAAAGCACTGTTAAGATAACACCAGCTGCCTGCAATTACTGAAAGTTCAAATCTCACCAGGCTCAAGGTTGACTCAGCCTTCCATCCTTTCAAAGGTAGGTAAAATGAGGACCCGGTTTGTGGGGGCAATAAGCTGACTTTGTATAAAATAGAACACCGTTCGGGGGGGCCGAAAGCAGGTATATACAAAAGTATGAAGGCTATTGCTTAACGCATTGTAAGCCGCCCTGAGTCTCCAGAAAAGGGCAGCATATAAAACGAACAAATAAATATTTCCTACAATCAAGATTAGAGCGAATTACATTGAGTTTGAATCTGTTGATAGCCCTTGTGTTCAGACATTTTAATGGACAATTTAGACATTTAAGTCTGATGTCCCTTGGGAGTTTACCCGGTGCATTATAAATACAGTCACCTAACTATCAGTAAGAATTCCATCCAGAGAGATTGCTATTAAAATGGGGGCTGTATGAAATGGGAATCGGAGGGGGGGATGCAAATAAAAGCCGATTTAAAAAAAAGAAACAAATGCCACCTACTTGCATTGAGATCTTTATCGCACAAATCTTTATCACAGCATGTAATATTGCTCATCAGATAAAAATCCTTCTCAGAGGACATGAGGATAAATCCCTGTTTGCAGATATTTGGATCCACTTTGTCGTCCTGGCAGCCTCTAATTGTTACTTTAACTGGCTTGTCCTTTTCTGCGGAGAAAGGGGAGGAAAACTGTGTTACGAAGGAGCTGAAAAGGCAACTGTTGGCGTTTGTTAAAAGCACTGCTCGGTAGTCCCAAGGGTGCTTTACAAATGGCAACTGGACTTCCTTGGGTTTCCCCCCCCCCTTGAAAACGTTTCTCGAAAAAGCTTCTGGGATGAGAAGAGAAACGTTTTCAGGGAGAAAAGCCAAGAAAATCCAATTGTCTTTTGAAAAACACCTTGACCTAGAGATGATTGAGAAGCTCTATAGCAGTGATGGCTAACCTTTTGGCTGTCGTGTGCTGAAAGTGCCCACACCCATAATGCAATGTGCGCACCCCCCATGCACCCCTCCCCCTGCACATGCGCCTTGCTTCTGTACATGCGCAGATTGCCGATGACGACATCTGGGGCAGTGGGCGGGGCCTCCCGCTGGTTTTACTACCGGTTCTTGTGAACCGGTCTGAGCCGGGGGCAACCCACCACTGCCACATTCCCCCCGCGCCCCGTTTTGGGCCCAGTAGGCCTCCCTGCATTTATAACCCATAATGCAATGCACATGCGACACCCCTCCATGCTCCCCCCTGCCTCCCCACATGCATGCACATCTCCCGCATGTGTCCTGCCCCCGCGCATGCGCAGCAGAGACCCGAAAATCAGCTGGAGGCACACACGCATGCACGGTGGAGCTGAGCTGGGGCATTGACCTTTTAGGTCTACAGAGACCAGGATGAGTTCCCCAACAATTAAACGTGGTATAAATTTTCACAATCTCCTGACATTATGGAAAGGTAAGCTCAAGGACATTTTCAGCCACATTTTTGTGGCCATGATGCTTAAACACCATCCAAAATGAGACTTTTCCAGGAGATTGGGCAAATGCCAGACAATTGTGGACGCTGGAAAATTCTCCTCTCCTCATCCTCTCTTCCTTTCTCTTCTGCTTCCCATCTTCCTTCCTTCCTTCCTTCCTTCCTTCCTTCCTTTCCTTCCTTCCTTCCTTCCTTCCTTCCTTCCTTCCTTCCTTCCTTCCTTCCTTCCTTTCTTTCTTTCTTTCTTTCCTCTCCCCTCCCTCTCTTTTCCTTCTTCTCTTTCTCTCCTCTCCTTTCTTCCTCTTTCCCTCCCTCCTTCCCTCTCTTTCAATTGAGAAAGTTCCTAGAAGTAGTTATTCAGAAAAGCAAATAGGAAGTGTCAGCATTTACCGGTAGCGATTTCCCTCTCGATTGAATAACATTGCCCCGTTTCGACTGTACAAGTTCCTCCGGTACACGTAGAACATTGGCAGTTAAGGGCATTTGCTGTTTTGGGTGGGGGGAAAAAAGAAGAATAAAATAGCAATAATTTTGAATTGAAAAGCATAACTAATAATTTATTTATTTATGCTTTCTGATCTAATTCTTTTTTCCAAGGAATGGTGACCAGTTGCACCCTCTTTGACCAGAGGTGGGTTCTACTTACCTTTACTACCGGTTGACAGCAGAGCTGCGTGCATCCGCAGAAGCGTTTTGATGACATCGGGGTCAGTGGGTGGGGCCTCCCGCCAGTTTTTCTACCGGTTCTATAGAACCGGTGCAAACCAGGGGCAACCCACCACTGTCTCTGACCCTGTAAAAGCTTGTCCTAATCATGGTTTATGCATCAATTATGCATCAATGAGCTGCGGTGGCACAGTGGTTAGAGTGCGGTACTGCAGGCTACTTCTGCTGACTGCCAACTGCCTGCAATTTGGCAGTTCAGATCTCACCAGGCTCAAGGTTGACTCAGCCTTCCATCCTTCCGAGGTCGGTAAAATGAGGACCCAGATTGTTGGGGGAAATAGGCTGACTCTCTAAACCGCTTAGAGAGGGCTGTAAAGCACTGTGAAGCGGTATATAAGTCTAAGTGCTACTGCTATGGCTAATACACTGGCCGCTCATTACCCAGATAGGTAACACCATCAGGCACTTTATCAGGGTAATGAAACATCTGTAAGAAAGCCAGCAAGCTCAGAGAACACCAAGAATCCCAACATATTTTTAATGTTAATCAATCAATAATCTCCAAATTACAGCGGATTACAATTTCATCACACTTTGCCTTCCGCCCACCCAGCCCAAAGGCTATGATCCAAATATTTACTGGACTTACCTGTAGCGATCAAAGCAGTGAAAAGAAGAAGATACTTCATTTTTTTTTTTCTGGGAATGGAGAACTTTTTTGGCTTGCACAGAGATAAATGTTCCAACAACCAATTTCTTCAGGTTTGACATTTGTTAGGAAGAAAGAGCAAGAGAGAATTAATATGGCAAATGAACAAATGGAAACTTGGAAACCAACTCGTGAAACTGGTGAATCGTGAGTTGGATAGCGTTTTTTCTTTTTTCTGGATACGATTTCTAAAATTCTCTGACTGGAAAAATAATGAGTATATTTGGGAGAAACATTGCTTCAAAGGTGTAAAATTACAGTGGAGGAAATAGAAACTACCTTCTATTCATGATGGCTTAGACATTTCCCAATTCTTCACGGCCTAGTCTTCCGCACCCTAAATGACAATTTCTGTCTGTCATTGGGCACTTTAGTTTTGGCTGAGGGCCACAGGGAAAACTAAATGCGACTGAATTTTAATACAAATACTGTACAAATGTAAATGAAATTAAATATATATGCTTGTCCTGGCTGACCCTGGCTGATTTCTGAAAAGGGAAGAGGGTCAGAATTGGTGGCTACATGAATGGGAGACCACCAAGAAACTCCCGATTTGTAGACCTGATTGGAAAGGGGGAATCCTGGAACTCGCTTCAGGAAGCCAGATTGGTTGTATCTGGGATTGATGCCTTGGCAGAGAAACTAGGCAAGAATTGGAGAATTATGAGGCTGTTGACAAAAATTAAATTTCAAACCTACAGAGAATCCAGTGGTGAAATCCAATTTTTTTTTACTGCCGGTTCTGTGGGTGTGGCTTGGTGGGCATGGCAGGGAAGGATATTGAAAAATCTCCATTCCCACCCCACTCCAGGCGAAGGATACTGCAAAATTCCCATTCCCTCCCCACTCCTGGGGGAAGGATATTGCAAAATCTCCATTTCCACCCAACTCTGGGGCCAGCCAGAGGTGTATTTGTTGGTTCTCCGAACTACTCAAAATTTCCACTATGGGTTCTCCGAACTACTCAAAATTTCCACTACCAGTTCTCCAGAACCTGTCAGAACCTGCTGGATTTCACTCCTGAGAGAATCCCTTCGCTGACTGCGGAATTCTGTGAGGTGAAGTCCACACTTCTTAAAATTGCTGAGAAGCAAGGCTGCCTGGGGAATTCTGGGAGTTGAAGTCCACACTTCTTAAAGTTGCCAAGGTTGAGAAGCATGATTTCAAAGCATTGGCTATCCAAACTTTGCTTCAAAACTCCCAATGATGAAGCCACCACAACTCCAGGAGGTTGGTTCTCCAATTGCTTCATAATGGCTATGATCAGGAGATGCCACCTTACCAAGTTTGAATCTCTCTCTCTCTCTCTATAGCTTCAATTTTTTGTGACTTCTTGTCGGATTCTTGAGTGCTAGGGAGGAAAAAAAAAACCCTACACCCTCTTCCCTGTGTGGCAGTCCTTCAAGAATTGAAAGACTGCTTTATTTTATGAAGACTCAATTAATTTTATAATCCCATCAGTACTCGTGTTTCCCTGCAAATAAGACCCGGTCTTTCCACCCCACTCCAAAAGAGGCATTAGGTCTTATTTTCGGGGAATGTCTTCTACTGTCTCACCTCACGGTGGTGGCATCGACAGTCCCGCCCAGCAGGAGCCCATGTGGCAGATGTTCTGTTACCGCTTGCTGCTGCTTGTGAATGGTGCCCCCAGCCTCTGTATCATCATCAGGGGCCTTCAGAAAAGGCCTCTGCTGCTGAGAAACGATCTCTGATGGCACCTCTGATGGCAAAACAGAGGTTGGGGGCGATGTGCGCAAGCAGCGGCAAGCGGCTGCAGAAGAAGTGGGCAAGGCATGTGTCTTGGTGTGCAAGGCCTGGCTGCAACTGTCTGAAGGTAAGCAGCTCCTCCCCTATCCCCATCAACCCTAGCTTGATTTTTACCTGTGCGCCTTGCCCCACCCTATGTAACCAGGTGCAATGGAGTGGGCGGGGTCTTAACTAGGGCTTATTTAGGGGGTAGGGCTTATATTGGGTGCATATGTAAAAATCAACCTGGGGCTTATTTTCAGGATAGGTTTTATTTTGGGGGAAACACGGTAGTATTGTATAATCTTTTTTGTTGGTTAGCTTTCTTTGAGTCATCAGGATGTATCTAGAAGGGTGTGTTTTTTTTAATCCGCCTACTCACTTCACTATATAACTGCCATTTATCAATATTTTTTTTCCTATTAGTGCTGCCGTTTTTAATACCTTGCTTTTAATATTTTCAAACACATTATTAAAGACCCCTAACAAGGGGCAAAGCAGGGTTTGTTTGTTTTTTTTTAAAAAAAAACTTCTGGCACCTTCCTTTAATTCCAGTCTAGAATGGAGGTAGAGATAACAATCTTGCATTTTGCTATAAAAAGCCATTTTGGTGCCATTATGAATTATTCAAATGGTGTCGGTGTTTAGTTTTAATTCTTCTCTTTAAAGTATGGACTATTTTGCACAAATAAGGAGGTGGGCGATATCAGTCCCAGTGCTGTTTTTTTTTAACATAAAACAGCAGCTGATGGAGTGACTATATCTTGTTTCAAGATATCTTCAACTAGAACAAACACACTGTGCTTTAAAGGTCCACAACATGCAAATGTAAAACAATAGATCATATCCAGCAGGAAGCAATTAGAATGAGCGCTAAGGTAGTAGCTATGCCTACAGGTTGAAAAAAAAGGGATGTCTTTCAGAAGATGAGAGATGTTTCTTTGTTCCCTAGGCAGGTGTACCTTTTTTCTCTATGCAAATTAGAGAAAAATATGAAAGCAACAGCTGCAAATGTATGAATTGAGCCAGATCCAGTATTATATCACTTCATGTAATGTCTCAGTTGCCTCCTTCCCCAAAATGTAGAAATCTCATGAGATGGAGAAAGCTGGTGAGATGTGGCACAAGAAACGAAATAAATACACAAAGGAGTAAGTAAACCTGCAAATGCTTAAAACTTATTTCACTGCGGGATTGAAGTAAAACTTGGCACCTTGAGTGAATCCACAACTTTTGCAATCCTTCCTCAAAGAAGTCCATGAGGAATGATGGAAGAAAATGAAGCTCTCTAAGATATCTAGGACTTCAAAATTCCCATCGGTAACTACCAGGGCATTATTGGGTTACCTAAACTTTTCCTATTTCCTGGCCTCATCCATAGTGATTCCAAGAGCCAGGAATACTCAGGCCAAGGTAGCAAAAAAAAAACAAACAAACAAAAAACCCCCCACAAATGGTATTTCTCTCCCCTCCCAAGAAAATCACCAAACTTCGTCTACACAACAGAGAAGAGCCGAATCAAATCAGTTTCCTTCATAAGCATAGCTCCACTTGAGCAATCCCAGGCGCAAATTGAAAAGATTGAACACCGTGAATATATAAATTCCTCTCTTACCTGTTTGATTTTCTCTCTGGCTCCTTGATAACTTTTGTGGTACGATGCTTATAGGCAAAACAAGGGCACAGTCGTTCTGGTGCCTCTTTATATTTGGATGGGCGGAGCGGATATGAGATTAAAATAAACAAGGTAACATAGTGGGGCAAACGAATGATTCATGTTGAGGTGTACTTCTGGTTAGCGTGCTGGTCTGGGAGATGTACTTCTTAAAAGGCAGCTATAGAAGACGGCGAAAGGCACAGGCATTGGTAAACGCACTAGGTTTCTAAGTATTGATCGGCAGTACTCTCTGGTTTACTAGAACAACTAGACACAAGAACAGTTTTTTCCCAAACGCCATCGCTCTGCTAAACAAATAATTCCCTCAACACTGTCAAACTATTCACTAAGACTGCATTACTATTACTATTCATCTTGTCATCGTTCCTATCACCCATCTCCTCCCACTTGCGACTGTATCAGTGGTGGGTTGCCCCCAGTTCGCACCAGTTCTATAGAACCGGTAGTAAAACCAGTGGGAGGCTCCGCCCACTGACCCCGACATCATCAAAATGCTTCTGCGCATGCGCAGAAGAGCACGCGGGCGGTCCCGCTGCAAACCAGTAGTAAAGGTAAATAGAACCCACCCTGGACTGTATGACTGTAACTTGTTGCTGTATCCTTAGGACTTATATTGATTGTTTCCTAGTATGATTTGATTGCTTATTTGTACCCTATGACTATCATTAAGTGTTGTATGTTATGATTCTTGATGAATGTATCTTTTCTTTTTATGTACACTGAGAGTCTATGCACCAAAGACAAATTCCTTGTATGTCCAATCACACTTGCCAATAAAAAATTCTATCTATCTATCTATCTATCTATCTATCTATCTATCTATCTATCTATCTATCCTCCTGCCATTGCAAAAGTATGAACTTTTTTGTGTTCTAATAATGAAAAGAATGGAATCATAGGCCAAACCCCTGCCTAAAGCAGGAAACCTCAGCTCATCCCAGACCAGTGTTTCTTAACCTTAGCATCTTTAAAAAATGTGTGGACGTCAACTCCCAGAATTCCCTGGCTAGCATGTGGCCATCTCTCCTTAGTCTTGAAGCTTCTGTTTGTGCAGACCATTAAAAGGACCAGAAGAAGATTCAGAAGAGATACAGCAAGTTCTTCTGCCTACCTCATACGGGGTTATTGTGGGGGAAAATAGGAAGATGCCCAGCGGTGGGTTGCACATTATGGTGCTATTGGTTTGAGTGTATGCCTGCCTTCCGCACATGCACCCGGCCTTTTGTGCATGTGCTTTGCTCACGTGCGCGCCTTCCGTGCATGTGCCCGGCCTCAAAAATGTGCCTAAATAGGACGACATAGAGCCAGGGCAGGTGGGTGGGTGGGCAGGCACCAGCAATTTCCGCTACCGGTTCGGGCAAACCGGTCCGAACCGGCTGAATATCACCTCTGAAGATGCTCCTTCAGCTGAACGAAAGGCAGGATAGGAATCAAATAAATAGATATAAACATATCAGATCCTGCTTGAGCAAAGATGTCTTGTTTGAGGCCAAGTTAAGATCAAGGCTCTTATACACAGAAATAGGTTCCAACTCCCGGAAGATGGCCTTACTTGCTGGGAAATTATGGATGTTGGACCACACATTCCAAAGACACCCAGATTGGGTAAGGCAGTTAGACATCTTATGAGGTAAACGGATCAGGCAGTCAGTAGCCAATTCATCAGCTGCATTGGTAGACTGCTGGCTTTCCAGGAAAGCGAATGGGTGGAGGTAAGTTTTGGCCCGATTCCCCATCTTGTGACAAATACCCTGAAGATCCTTTTTCGCCTGGAGACTGAAGATTAAAACATATGAAGAATGATTGATAGATAAGATTTTAGAATGTGCTGAGACGGATAAATTAACAAAAGAAATTTAAGAAAAAGAAGAGACAGATTATTATAGAATGTGGAATAAATGGTATAAATGGCTTAAGGTGAGAAATAAAGAATAATAACTCTCAGGGGAAAAAATTAGAAGTATAAAATATATACATAACAAATGTATGGAGCGGAATAAAAATGTATAGAAACGGACAAAAACAAACAGTATAAATAAAGAAGAAAATTTTTATATAACAAGAATATAAAAATGTATATTAAAGATATAATTAAAATATGTGTATAATAATTGTAGAGAAATGTATAAAATTAAGCTTGTTAAAGCTAAAAAGCATATTGTAATCAAAGGGGGCGGGGGAAGGACAATGGGAAAAAGAAAGAAAGAAATGAAGACATAGGGGAGGAAAGATAAAATAATAGAAAGAAGACCACGAAGAAACAATGTTTAAAAGAGATATGTATATGTTGTATGTTATGTGAATGTCATATATATGTTATAATAAAATTATAAATTAAAAAAAAACTTATGAAGAATGGTGGCAGGAATTGGGTATGTCTAGTCTAATGAAAAGAAGGACTAGGGAGTGACATGATAGCCGCGTTCCAATATCTGAGGGGCTGCCACAAAGAAGAGGGAGTCAAGCTATTCTCCAAAGCACCTGAACGCTGGAGAAGAAGCAATGGATGGAAACTAATCAAGGAGAGAAGCAAGGTAAAACTAAGGAGAAACTTCCTGATAGATGGAACAATTAATCGTCAGTTCAGTGAGGCGGTAGATGTGATGTGCCGGTGCCTGGAGGCTGTGAGGATCTGGATGGGAGTCAACAGGCTCAGACTTAACTCAGACAAGACCGAATGGCTCTGAGTATTGGCCCCTAAAGACTATGTCGATTGTCCATCCTTGGTTCTGGGGGGAGAGAAAGTGCCCTCCTCAGAACGGGCTCGCAATTTGGGTGTCGTTCTAGACTCACAGTTGAGATTGGAACAACATCTGACAGCTGTAGCTAGGGGGACCTTTGCACAGTCTGGTGCACCAATTGCGACCCTACTTGGATCAGGAGGCTCTCCTCACAGTCACTCATGCCCTTGTCACCTCACAGTTGGACTATTGCAACGCGCTCTACATGGGGCTACCCTTGAACAGTGTTCGGAGACTACAGGTGGTCCAGAATGCAGCCACGCGAGTTATAGTGGGTGCACCTAGATACACCCACATTACATCAATTCTCCGCGAGCTGCACTGGCTCCCTATCGGTCTCCGGGCACAATTCAAGGTGTTGGTTATTACCTTTAAAGCCCTACATGGCTCAGGACCAGGCTATCTTCGAGACCGCCTTCTACCACATAGCTCCCAGCGACTGGTAAGATCCCACAGAGTCGGTCTTCTCCGGGTCCCATCAGCTAAACAATGTCAGCTGGTGGGCCTGCGGGGGGGGGGGCTTCTCTGTGGCTGCCCCGGCTCTCTGGAACCAATTACCTCCTGAAGTCCGGACCATCCCCACCCTATTGGCCTTCCGGAAAGCGGTGAAGACCTGGCTCTTCCGGCAGGCCTGGGGCCGTTGATCTCGTTATAGTGAACTTGTGAGACCCGGCCACAAATTGGAGTGTATGTGTTTTAACGTTTTAACGTTTTAATGTCTTCTTTTAGCTTTTGTATGGGATATTGTTGCATTGTTTTATTCTCTGTTGTAAGCCGCCCAGAGTCCCTTGGGAGTTGGGCGGCATAGAAATGCGACAAAATAAATACATAAATAAATAATCAGCGGAATGGTTTGTCCCCGGAAGTTGTGAATGCTCCAACACCGGAGGTTTTTAAGAAAAGATTGGCCAGCCATTTGTCAGAAATGTTATAGGGTTTCCTACTTGAGCAGGGGGTTGGACTAGAAGACCTCCCAAGTCCCTTCCATCTCTTCTGTTATTCTGATCAGGTTGTCAGTAGCCAGTAGCCAATTCATTGGCCACTTGGGCGGCGTGCTGGCTTTCCAGGAGAGGGAAGGCTGGAGCAAGCTTTGGCCAGATACCCCATCTTGTGACAAACGCCCTGAAGATAATTTTTTTTTAACCTCTGCATGTATTGCACAGAGTAAACTCCCTTAGACACATACATGCCATGAATTTGGGGGTAAAATGCATCACCAGACCGAAAGAGGACACGGCGGAGAGAAATTGACATCTTCCTTCACTTCTCTTCCTCCAAAGCATGCTAATTATTTCCTCCTTGCATTATCTAGAAGTAGTTAGGACTCCTTTTGTTACGCCCTCAGGCATAAGGAAGTAAAAATCGTTTTGCTCTCTATTGTCTCATACTTTTCCCCCTGATGATTAACTACCCCACCCATGGAAGAAAATAGAAATGAAATGTCACACTCAAAACTCACAAAATCCTTCAGTAAACGTGCTGACTGAGGAATTCTGGAATTCATACCTCTTAAAGTTGCTAAGGCAGGGAATCCCTGGTTTAGAGAATGCAGCAAAAGTATAGTCAGTTGTTGTTAGTCTACCCCAGTGTTGGCGAACCTTTTCGGCACCGAGTGCCAAAATGGAAGTGAGTGTGTGCATGTGTGTTTGCCGGAAACCGGAAGAGCAGCTGCATGGTGCGCATGTGCGTGCTGGGAAGATCATCTTCTGGTTTCCGGCGCACGCATATGCACCGGCCACCTGGTCTTCCGGTTTCTGATGTGCATGCGTGCCTGAAGACCACCTGGCTGGTGCACATGCACATGCTGGAAACTGGGAGATCATCAGAGGCTTTTCAAAGCATTTTTTTCTGCAGCCTCTTGGCTGAAGAGGTGGTTAAAAAAATGCTTTGAAAAGTCTCTGACGATCCCAGCTGAGTTGCCTGATCGGCAGAGAGGCTTTTCAAAGCGTTAGAAAAAATGCTTTGAAAAGTTAAAAAAAAAAAAAGTTGGCCACACCCACCCAGTCACATTAGCCCCCCCCCCCCCCAAGCCACGTCCACAGAACCGGTGGTAACAAATTTTACATTTCACCCCTGGGCGTGTGGTCCTCTTCTGCAACCTTCTGACAAGCAAAATCAATGGGGAAAGCCAGATTCACTTCAGCGCCGTGTTACTAATTTAAGAACTGCAGCGATTCACTTCACACATGTGACGAGAAAGGTCGTAAAATGGGGCAAAACTCACCGAACAAATTTCTCTCTTAACCACGGACATTCTGGACTCCATGGTGGTCGTACGTTGAGGATTTACCTGTAATC